TCAATGCACAACAAACAATACGCTTATCAATTCAACCAATGCACAACAAACAATACGTTTAACAATTCAATCAATGCACAACAAACAATACGTTTAACAATTCAACTAATGCACAACAAACAATACGCTTATCAATTCAATCAATACACAACAAACAATACGCTTATCAATTCAACCAAGGCACAACAAACAATACGTTTAACAATACAACCAATGCACAACAAACAATACGTTTAACAATTCAACTAATGCACAACAAACAATACGCTTATCAATTCAATCAATACACAACAAACATTACGCTTATCAATTCAACTAATGCGCAACAAGCAATACGTTTTAGCAATTCAACTAATGCACAATAAACAATACGTTTAACAATTCAACCAATGCACAACAAAAAATACACTTATCAATTCAACTAATGCGCAACAAACAATACGTTTAACAATTCAACCAATGCGCAACAAACAATACGCTTAACAATTCAACCAATGCACAACAAACAATACACTTATCAATTCAACTAATGCGCAACAAACAATACGTTTTAGCAATTCAACTAATGCACAACAAACAATACGTTTAACAATTCAACCAATGCACAACAAACAATACGTTTAACAATTCAACCAATGCACAACAAACAATACACTTATCAATTCAACTAATGCGCAACAAACAATATGTTTAACAATTCAACTAATGCGCAACAAACAATACGTTTAACAATACAGGCGAACGTCATTGTTGACGTAAACTTAATTAAAAGAAATGGTAAATGTCATTCATAACACGTTCCATATTAGCTTGTCATTACAGAATGCCAGTGCAGCTCAGGTCTCTGTTCTATGGAAGAAAGTCTGACTGGCTCGTTATTTGGTGCTTATGGATATAAGTGATATCAGCTTGTAAATAAACTACAAATTTCTGTGAACATAGGCTAGGCAAGTGATTAACAACACTCATTATCATATCCTCGCCTCCAATAAACACTTACCCGGGGCAAGTGAATTGAGCCTTTAATAATTCAACCAATGCACAACAAACAATAGTCTCAATAATAATTCACTTCATGCAAATCAAACAATATATGCACAACAGACGAACTGAACAATTCAACTAACGCACAAATAGCAATACGCTCAACAGTTCAACTAATGCCTAAAGCCCATGGAATTAAATCGAGCTCTCATCGATATTCTACACTAGCCCGCAATACATCAATCCCAGAAGCAGATACAGTCCTGAAGCAGTCCTGTGACATAATATCGTATTGTGTACTTAGTGACAGAGGCTTACTTTGGATATTTTCTGCATTGAGATAATGAATATTCTTGCGTATGATCTTCCTCCAGACTGGTCAGCTCTTGTAAACGAACTATAAGTGTACAAGCACACAATAATGTCAGCTATTTTGGCACAAGATAAACCTGCATAATCTTTAATTTGGTCTTGTCAACAATTGTTTTCAAAACATTGTTTCTTAAATTCATCACGCGATTACAGGGGGATAGTATTAGACGCAAATGACAAAATGACCGCCGAAATCTCGTTGAGTACGGGAGAGCCACGCGACTTATGTTTGTCTCATCTCTAACAGTGTTCCATTCTCTTTCGTCATCGTGTAGAGTGTTCCAAATACTATGGTAGCATAAAAACGGGGAAAATAAAATGTGATGGTGGGAGGGATTGAATTACTATTTAGGAGGAACCATTTATGAAGATGGAAAATGGGCTATCTGGCTTTCAACGACATCCCGGCGGCCATTGCCATCTAAGTTGATTTGTTTCTTATTCTGGTTTCTTTTTAATATCAGTTAAACAATATGAGCATGTTAAGTTATAGTTTGTTGATAACGTGAAGGACAGTATGTTATGGAGTTTTAGACTTGTTTAAAAACAGTGGTTTGGTAGGCTCCAAAAGTTAGAACGTATCTGGTGAGAACTTTTCATTTACTCTAAATTGAGGCCTAAAATAATAAAAAAATATGCTTTACCTACATTATGGTGCGGAAAATATGGCGCTCAAAGGGTTACTCTAATCATTATACCTCTTTGCTCCAATTAAATTGCAACTTTAAAGATCATCATCAATTAACTAATAATTAAAGTGCTTACCCGTCCAGTCACCGAGAACCCGGATGTGAATGCTAAATGATGCAATTTCAGGATTCGGGCACTGTAAACATACAAAACAGTACACGTTAGTGAACGCTCGTCAATTTAATTCTTCGGCATTAAGGAATATAGTGGATCACGGAATCCAGATATGAGTATGAACATTGCAGGACACGTGACAAGCACGTGACAACTTACCGCTGTTAGAGTAAACGGATGCCATTCCATAGAAGAAATGCTCGGTATATTCACCATAATGTACTGGAGGAAATAAAACAAACATAAAAAATAAGTTTGGTAAATCAAAGGTCGCCAACCAGTGATAAAGAAGATTACAATTATGTTTGTTAGGAGTGACCAAAGTACAAAGTAAAAGATAGTTCAATATTGCTATTGTACTAACACGGCAGTACCACGTCTAAATTTACTATTATAAATCGTTTGCGTGATGGCACACATAATATGACCGTGAGTAATATAATAATAGACAGTTGATAAAATAAATAAAACATAGAAGTAAAAAGCGAGCGTGCCAGGATTCGAACCTGGAATCTTCTGATCCGTAGTCAGACGCGTTATCCGTTGCGCCACACGCCCTCATACAAGAAAGACCGAATCACGACTGTAGCCAATTTAAGGGTAAGAAGTGTAAATATACATTTTTAAAATTTGGGAAAGTATCATGGTAAAATATACACTAACATTTTAAATATTGTAATGAAATTAATATAAGTAAAAGGTATGAAGCCATACTGAGCAGCCAAAAAAGCGTTAGCGAACCAAACAGAACCTAGCATGCCAGGATACGCAGCTAAATTTTCACGGGGAATGGCACAAGAATACTTTTGGGTCCATGATATCCGCACAACTTTTTCTTTAAATATCATGGCAACTTTCCCAAACTAGAAGCAGTCCAAGTAACGTGACATGCCCAACGGCAAGGTAAATAAATGAACAAAGAGATGAATACTTTACCTGCCCCGCTTTACCTCGAAATTTTTCTTTCGTGAAACGTATTTCGATGACGTCACATGAATGATGAACGACTTCTTGAATATTTGCCTCGCGGTATCGACTTCCCAGAAATCGACATATCTTTTCTATGGCATAGCACGTGAGCGGTACGACCACCCACATCCAAGTCTGTCAAAAAAGATGTACAGCGAGATGTCAAAACTGTTATTTCTCCTGGACAGATTTTATTGTAACCACGTCGGTACATAGCGTATGGGTATGCTATACAAAACAGTCAATAATACGTCAGACCAAACAGAGCCAGCACAATTATCACTCTGTAGTTTCAGGCTCTATGAATCGTGACAGGTTCAAACAAACACGGTCCATAACTAAACAAAATAGAGGCGAGCGAATATTTCAACTGGGTGGTAGATCATACTAGTCAGGAGCCAAACATGCGTGATTTATAACCTGCCTCCAAAGTCTTTGTGATCATAACCTAACCTCTATTAGAAACATTGCATCACCCCTTACCTAAGTGCAAGCAGTGATGGGAGTCATTAGTTTAGTATTATTACCTGTTGAGGTATCCTTATAAATATTGGCATTTCTTTACACGTAACTGAAGACGAATCCCAATCCATGGAGCCTTCGGCATATGCCATTATATCAGTCTTATTCTGAATCAGGCAACCTGGAATATGCATAACTATATTTTCTTGCATTTTTAAAAGGCCCCTAGAACAAATATGAATATGATTCCTCATTTACATGCACGTAAAACCAGATTAACTTAAATACAACTGGGACAGAATGGCGTGACATTTTCCTGGATGCCCTGATATAGGGTGCTTAGCACGAAGCACACGTCAAGGGTGTGGATTTCTTTGTTGTGTAGTGTCTGTACCATTAATGACTTGCAAATTGCACGCATAACCATATTCAATGCAACGGACACTTTGTTGAATTTTAGCTAGCATGTGATTTTAGCTACAATTTTAGCTACATAAAAATAAGCTAATCGTGATACTGACACTTAAAGTAGTAATGTAGCTATTTCAAATGTTTTGCAGAAAGTTGCCCTAACCTAAAAAGCGAGTACCAAAGACCCTCCAGCGCTCAATATATCATTCTGACCAGCTTTTGGTTTAAAATTCAGTGTTACCAGACAGAAATTATTTGAAATAGACAAAAACGTGTGCTTACCTTGATGCATGGAATAAAAGAAGTATATAAAAACAATAAATAAATGGTGAGTATACCAAAATATTTCATAGCTAGCAGTCCTGGAAAAGATGAATTATTTTATGAATTAAAATAAATAAAATACAAACTTGGTTCACTCACAAGTTTCGACACAATTTTTTTTCTGAATGTAAAATTTAACCCCACACATATATTTCTTTAATGTCTTTCCATATAGACAGTGAGATTATGGGTGATACATTCGTGAAATTGACAGCCATGTTAGTTACTCACCTGACTGCCTTTGTTGATGACGTCACAATTACAAATAAAATTATCATCATTGAAAAACCTGTAGCACCAGCAACTGTAAAGAGAGTTCGTGAGAGTGTAGAGTAGTAGTCAGCGATGATACTGAGAAGAAATCGAACTTTAAAATCAAAGGTTCAAGATACAAGGCAAGACTAACACAATTGACGTAATAAACTCGTTTTACTCACCAGAACAAAAAAGTACTTTTCGCGGATCCTAGAAAAGACAAATACGGAAGACTATTATAGCGCCGCCATCATGACATGTTAAAGACCGATACAAAACCATATAGACAATACACACTATTTTTTTGATGCTCACACTTTCCTTTTGTCAGAAGTTAGCGAGGTGTTTTTTTACGGTTATGAATTTAAGAGTATATGATTCAACAGTCGCCCTCTAGCGAAGGTTCTTGGTAGAGGGCGTTACTTAAGTGTGAATTCAGTTAATATCAGTCGCCCACAATCATGAAGATAAGACGTGAACGCACCTCATCTTGACAGCTTGCCAAATTGATTTCTGGGTAATTGTTATTGTACCGCTGAGAGGAATTTATGACGTTCGTAATATGACCAATAGTATGCACCGCTGAAATGAAAATGAAAATCTGTCAAAGTATTCAACTTCCATGATGAATTCAAAAAGTCATTGTGGTTACAATGCATTTCTAAGCATTTTAAAATAATTCTGTTAAATATTACGTTTTTTTAAAAACATTAGGTTATGATTTATCGTAAAATAAAAATAATATGTTGGCTACAAACATAGCAGTATTCATTAGATGAAATACTGAGACACAAGTTGTTAATCACCTCAATGTACGGATAAATCCAGAGCGTATGCGCATTAGAGTTAATTGTCTCATCGAAGGAAAAATTATAAACTTGTTTTTTTTCAAAACAACATTGTTAAGCTAAGATAAAGCATATTATACTGTTTCTATCAAGATGCAATATCAGACAAAAATTTTTGAACGTCATGCTAATATACTGATATTCTCAAAGGGTTCGTGACAATATACACAGATGTTTGGCATAAATCAGACGATTGGGAAGCTACATTCCCAGAACAAACGCACTTACCACCTGCCAGACAGACAAGGATCGCACAAACCATGTGAATTTGCTTCGCCTGGTCGATGAACCTTCGTACGCGTCGCTTAGCAACCTACACAAATTGAAAGGGAATAGACATTATTAACAAAAACTTAATTGAAGTTTCAACTGGACTTGGATAGTAGTATACCATATATCACGCTGAAACGAGTAGTTCCTATGAGTACGATGTTTTCTTAAATATCAATCCTAGAGAGGAGAAAACGAAACGTATAGGACATCGTTTTGTTCTTGAAATGTAATTACTAGTATCATAAATTCTACAAAATAAACATGTTAGATACGTCAATACTACATCCCGTTCCATGTCGAAATATTAACAATGGATGGGTTGTCGGTTACGTTGGATAATCTGTCCATTATATCATCACCTTGTAGCCTCGTTCGTAATTTCGCACGGACAGTGGCTTGCGTGTATTTAAATTTGCACAAAGCGTCTATGTAATTGTAATTTAATAGGTTCTCAAAGCATTGGTAAATAAATTATGTGCGATTACCTTTTCAACATCGACCGAAATAATACGTAGTATGTTTTAATCTTTTTCTAACTAAGGGTTAGACACATTTAAAGAACGACGACAATTTTTTGCGCAGGCGCACACTAAAAAATACCATGCTTGGTGCAGTAAAATGAAAACGTGCTAGTTTTTTATTTATTTATTTTAATCGGTAGGCTAAGAATGTTTGTTGACCGCAAAAGATTTCGTAGACTCCATCTAAAAGTGGAACAGGTCTTGGGATCACGGGCCATTATGATTTTATTTCCATTTATCCAGTCATTGGTATTTATATATACCCATTAACGGTTTATTCATTTTGTGAGTCATACCAAGATTTATATTCGGCATAGGCACGTGTCTAACAAGTTGTAAACAATGCCATTAATATTCCGTGTTCTAGTAGCAGTTAAGTCGTATCTTTGAAGTACGTTAGTAATACCGTTGTTATGGACGGAATTTAAATAACATGTAATAATCGCTAATTTCTGCCCAGAACTCTTTATCAAATTGCCAGTGGCGGAATGACATGGCGAAGTAACAGATACGTGGCTCGTTTAATTGAATAAACATGCATTCAGCTCGATAAATTTATGACAACAGATGTTCTGAGGTTGTCAGTTTATTATGTGCATGCGGGATTTACGAATAGTCGGGAGTGGTATTGTTATGATAAGAGTAAACACGAAATATAATATATATGAGCTTGCGTTGCGCTGTTAAATAAACAAAAATAAAAATGCATCACTAGTATTAGGAACTGATTGAATCAGAATTGCTGCTTTTCAACTTCGCAGAACGGTGACCGTGGTTGATTCAATAACCGAACGACACTCGTTACATATATTCTCGCTCACAAGAGAGTTTACTGGAACCATAGTTTTATTACGAGTGAGAGATATGCTATGTGTTCAATATAATTATATGGAAATTCGTTATAACGAGGTTACAGCATAGAAAACTCCTTCTCCCATTTGCCTGTGTTACAATATCACAATTTCGTCGATGGCTGCCCACTGAAGACACTTGTCACATTGGAATGTAAGATTGGAATAACGATTTTTTTAAATAAACAATTGAAGCAGTATTTCTGTAATTGAAGACTGAATGGTGGTGGATATTGTACTGATTCTCTATGATGTACACGTGTGTCGTTTGTCGACTTCTCGATATTCAATTGCAAATATCGAGATTAAAGTTTAATGACCTTATGTCGTCGTAAATGGTTGCAGTATATTTTTAGCTAGTGTTATAAGTATATTGGATGGTAGTGATAATATGTCGGTGAAAATTCATTTATGTTGTAAAACCAAAACATGTGGGAATGGAGTGCACTGCAATATCATTTATCGGTGACCTTTGACCTGAAACTACAGCGGTAAATTAGATCGGCATTTTACAAAAACATCAGCCACCATTGAGCTGTAATCTACTCATTATGTTACTTGCAAGTACCCCTATGCAGTTACTATCAGCAACGAATTTTGGAAAATTGTGGAGTTTATTGCTGTTTATGTGTTGTCTTCTCATATATCACTAAATATGTTTTGTTTATGTCTTGAACATAAATGGTACCATGGCTCGGAAATTCCGCGCAATGCCTGCCTTGCAACAGGTTCAGTAATTTTATTGAGGTCCTTCGAGTTTTAAAGCTCTCTGATTTCCTGCCAACACAGGAACCAAGTTATCTCCAACAGCTGTTGTTGATCAACGATTGGATATGTAAGATACAAAACCATATTGGCATGTGACTCAACTGCTTGCAGACTAACTATCACTACACTATCACTTGTTGTCAAAGATTGAATGAATGCAGCATATTTGTTTAATCGGGATCATCATTTGTATTGGGAAGAGTATTTGGGTGAATTGTATGATTTGTAACAGAATAAACTTTATTTAACTGGTTTATGTTGGCTGGTGAGTGAGCAAAGTTTTCACAATAAATAAGTGAGTCCCAACCGTCACGAACCAGTGAGGGAAACATGACAATTCCCCGTAAATTCGACGATTTGACTCGGCGTGGTCTACTAACTCACTAAGAATATTCAAAAATGGCGTCTTTGTTATCTTAAAGGTAATTATAAAATAGCCTGCAGTTGGTTCATTTAAATTTAAAACGTAGCACATTGAGTTTGTTGTGCCTTCATGGTCTGTAAAACATGTCATAGTTTAGTGAAAATTGCCCTGGGCGGGGTTTTCAGGTTCACTTGGGGCACGACTTAACCAGAAGAGGTATAGTAGTAGTCTAATACGAGTATATTGTGATTTGTTGTAACACGCACCTTGTGAGAGCGTCTCAGACACGTCAGCAGCGTTCTACACATCGGAAGTAACACCATCGCACAGTTTAGGTTTAACACATCGGCAGTACCACGTGATATGCACAATCCTTTCTGTAAGAGAACACAAAACAGTACTAATTGGAAATGTCCTGTATTGATAAATGCCAACATAAAACTTCGCGAGAACTGTTTGGTCGACACATAATTTTCACTGCGTAGCTATAACATATTATTGGTAACTATTGATGCAATCTTGGGGGCGTCATAACCTGCTAACAAAGAGGCGATATAAATAATTTATATTTTATCTTTATAGACATTTGGTTAAGAATTATCTTAACATTTTCACTACCAGACTTTCTCGCCAAAATGTTTCTATAATATTTTCTTATATTTTTCAATATTTCTGGAAATGAACCATAATGTTTAAGCCAGCAGACAAAATGTGAATAGATTTTCAGTGTTTACTAAAAAAATTGGCTATATTTGTCCCAATCTTGAGAGACTGTTTCGTTAATTTGTGGTGAAAAGCGGGAACTGGTGGAAAAAAGGTTAAACCATGGTACAAATAGTATTCGTTTGTTAAAATAATCAACAATGAAACTGTGCGTGCGTTTTGGAATAGCGACCCACACAATTAATTGAATGCGCATGCGCATTGGAGGTAGAAGCATATTTTTTAGAAAGTTTATCATAATACTCATTGGTGTGTGTGCAATCATGTAGCTAGTTTAAAGTACCATATTTTGTAAGAGCTGACCAAACATTATTTTACAAATACTATCTTTTGAACAGTTCTATTGAAAGTGAAAGCAAAACAGCACGATTTTTAACACAGATTTTTAAATTCCTAAAACTATCAGACATGATTTATATTTTTTTATGCTATGGCTTTTATAAGACATAGCATTTCGACGATATAAACCAATGGTAAAGACGCTGTAATATTGACAAAAATCACTAATATAATAATGATTTTCTCAATAAAATAGGCTGATGACTATTGACAAATGCTGTGTATTTTCATTTATTAGTAAGTTTCTAAGTAATATATTGTATGCTAAAAACAGAATGTTTTAGGTTACGAGAAATCATAATTATACATGTTATATTCCTTCAATTCTTCCCTCAGATGTGCTATGGTGGTGTAGTTGTAGACAATTTATTGAGCTGACTTTGACAAGCACACCGAGTTCACGGTCACTGGCTTTAGTGCTAATTTATGATGAGAGATAATGAAAGTATTTATTTGTAGTCACATGAGTTTAACAGTGTCTACTCTTCAGTTCTTCAGGCCCATTGTCTAACAACCCTCAGCGGCGAAACAAGGCGCACAGGTCTACTACGACCGCTGGCATGAATTTTGGTCGATCCACAATGGCGCGTTTTCAAATTGGATGCCCAAGAAAACGATGTTTACGACGAGTTTGCATCAACCCCACCTAAAATTACGACATTTCAAGAAATGTAGTGGTTTACATCAAGAAATAGTCATATATTATAATCAATAATATTCTAATAATTAACAAACTACTGTTGTAATATGTATTCTAAATTGTAGCAGCCTGCAGGGAAAAAACGAGGCAGAGGTCATCAAAATACTGTAACCGTGCATTTTCGAAGGAGTCTCGCGAGTTTCTTTCTCGCTCTCAACGCTCTATAGTTTGTTAATGTTTTCTTGATCATGTTTGTCATTTTAATGTTTATATCAACACATTTTATCTCCGATTTCCCAGGCAGGATTGCGAACCAATGATAGGTTTGGTGTTACAAATCAGACCGTAAAATGACTATCGCGAAGGGTCAATCCATCGTATGTCGACCGGGACCATTCAATAGCTTAGCACATCATAAAAGAAATAAGTAACGGATAATGGATCACTAACATGAGGGCTTAAAACTAAATATTTATCCAAACCAGAATTATAATCACACGTACAAAAATAACATTTTTATAAAAAAAAATAGACCGATTTAGATTTGAATTAATAACACTCTGATTGGTTCTTAGTGAAAATACTTCATTTCCAACTTGACCATCGATGATGTGTTTATGCATTTGTAAAATGTTTGCACATACATTGATTGCCACTGCAATGTGTGAAAGTGTACACGATATAGGCGTTACGAACAACAAGTTCCCATCTCTACTGTACTCTGTCAGTCAAGCGTGATTTTCTCGTTAACTTTATAATGAATCCGTTTAAAAGATATTATCGATCAGAAGCAATTGAAGTCACGTGCTTTTTTTCAGCAAGTACTGGTGTGATCGCCCATCGGTAATAAAACAACATACCCTGATGTAGCATGACACGCGTGCAGTATGTCCTAAAACATTAATGGCAAGTTAAATGCTATGCACTGTTCACTTTTTCTTTGTCCATATAGTAAATTTGAACTTCTTTGTAGGTTTTAAAATCCGCAGCTGACATTTTAGCCTGAACATTGACTCGATGTGAAGCGCATTCCGCGATGGCTGAAATAACTTACATCGAATTGCTACTCTGATATCAGTTCGAGACACTTTGAATTGGAAATTGTGAGAAACAGTGGCTACTTTTACCCTGATTCCAGGCCCGAACCACTGCACGACTGCAACCTCCCCACTCCCCATATCACATGACGTTTACCAGAGATGCCAATTAAATACTTCTAATCCGGAACCATTTATCAATGAAAGATAAACATCAAATATGTTTGGATAACTTTAGATCTGAACGACACACATGTACGTGATTACAATGAGAAGTTGACCCAGATTAGAATTACTGGGATTCGCCGCGGATTAGTGTTACTGAAACTGGCCGCGTGTAAAAAGTATTGCGTGGCCTTGGGGCAAATTGGCAATTTCTCAACGTGAAATCAGAGCCAGTTTTACGGAAATAGACATAGTGTTAAATTTATGATGTTTCCAAACATGCTGTAACTGATACAAATGTGTGTTTATTATAACACACGTTTGGCTTATACACACAATTGCACAAAGTGTATAATTTATGGATTGAATCAAAGGGCTGACTGAGGTCATGAACCTCGTATACGTCCCTGACACATGTTTTGGAACTAGAATTTTCATATTGAATACGATATAAAGCCTTCCAGGATACCACTCGCAGAAAATGGAAGGATATGATTTAACGTCTGCTTCTTACTAGATAACAACAACGTTTATTTGTTTCTCAAATTAGATCAATATTTTTTATGAATAAAGTTAGACTGTAAACGGACAATTTAATTGGTTGAAAGAGAAAATAACAGTGAAATCTATAAACGTTCGTGGTATTCTTTTGAAATAAAATCTAACCCTCTGACTTGTACTTCCTATACCCTTATATGCACATGCGTATACACACGTATCAACTAAACGGAGGTCAAGGTTAATAGTCCGGCATCTTTAATTAGCCTGTCTGGAAATGGTTCTTTTGTGACACATTCTTATCTTCTTTATTGCCTATTCTAGTACTTCCTCTGTATCCTTATTATTCCTCACAACTGTGTGAAACTGTCGCGTAATAGTTCCTGTTTAAAGGTCAAACATCATTCTTCTTCACATTCTGGGGGTATGAGTTAGTAAGAATTTCCCACCGCCTCTTCCCCAAAGCCAGCAGTTGTTTAAAAAAGTTGAAAACCAATTTAACACATGGCAAAAGGTAGGTGATTGGGAATTACTGCCGTTATTGGAGGGATTGCCAGGATGTGTGACCCTTGGGTACATGCCTAAGATACATTCGCTGTCAATTTCCGTCAAAGCGTAGTTAGGGGAGCGGGGTTAGCAATAGTTCAAGGACACCATATGGCTAGATATAGGGGTGTAACATTCTGTGTAGCACACTGCATTCGAGAAAAACACGTGCATAAACGTATCGACATTTGTCTTCCATTCGCCACATGCTGATGGTGGCCCCAGTGACCCCACAGGCTAACTGGAAAACCAGAAACTATGTTGAAGTTATAAAATAACAAGAACTTGTTGTACCACTGTCCCTCAACACTGTCATTGCTGGCCTGGGGGAATATGTTTACAGCTTCGGGTACGGTAAATATTAAAGGGCGGTGGTCGTCGCGCAGCGCGTGTTCGAATGTCATGTAAACAAACATAGTATTTTGTACGCGTTGTATACGTCTATGAGTTCCATATCGAAAAGATGCACTCACCACCGGGCACGCCCTCAACGTCGTACTTTACATAATGAAACACCCCCGATTCAACAATTTACTCTTCCTTTCTTTTTTTAAGTTAAAACTATTTTCATATACGATTTTTTTACAAATATAAACAGGACAATCTTCAGAAATATACTCATCATGATGCTGTTGCTTGACTGTACGTGAAAGAGAAACGTCCACCATTTTGAAAAACTTACCCCTAACATCTGTCGAAGATAGAAATACTGTGGTCCCGTTTTGTATTCGTTATACGTTCTGCAGAACACAAGGCCGTTGATTCCCAGCCATACAACCTTGAGAAGAAACAAAAATAATAAACATTATTCTCATTTGTGTGTGTTCTGGAGATTCTTGAAACTTTAAAATAATATTGTGTGTGTATGTAATCAATCCATACACACTTCACCCAAAAATGTATTCGGTGCCGCTTTTAATGTATTTTTTGTTGTGCGTTATTAACGCATTGAATGTTATATCGGATGTGAGTATATTATTATATAATATTCTTTTCGAAGGTTACCCGGTTTGCGCTTAGTCTGTGATAATCTTTCATACGACGTGCACACACCATTACATCGCTTTGCTGTGTTTATCTTTGGGGTATGCGACCGACCAATCTTCTTAGCAAGTCTAGCTATCTATTACAGTACGTAGTGTGTAAATATGAACAAACTGACCCCAAAACCTTCCCCTGCTCGTGCTTAGAAAATGTGTGTAAACGAGGCCAATATCCGAGGTATTGAACATTTGGCCTCGAGCTGTGTCACAATGCTGCACAAATCTGTACTAATTGCGAGACAATTCAGATTGCAAGCAGGCAATAATCTACGACGACATACCGACATACATTAAACAATTGCGTTCGGAATATTTACTGTCAAAGGTCAAGAAAAGTTGTATTTTGCCAGAGCAATATAGCGATATAGATTTTTGTTTGCAAATTTCTATCCCGATAAAAGAACTCGAGAGAACTTGAGGAAAGAGATTGATTGTTGTAGAACAACAAGTACGAACCCAAACGTCAGTGCGTTCGCCACACAAGTTGAACTTGAATGTAATTAACGATATTCCCAGCTTGTTCTCGTCGAGGCACGGTTTACGTTCTCTTCAGTTCTAGTTCTTTTTTATATATTATGTTTACCAGGTGTCGTAGATTATATTTCTACCTAAACTAAATCGCATTCTCTATACATGTTGCTGCTTATGGATTGTCCCCATAGAAATGGTCGTCTACAAATACCACCAGAACGATGGACTCGGAACATGTTTATTTCAAATAATGGTAATTCTTTGGTAATAGCAATTATCGAAATCAAGAAAAACTATGGGTAACATGACATGTGCGTGGAATCGGTTAAACATTTTCATGGTAGAAATGTACGTAAATCTGAGGTCACACCAAAGGTCACACCAAGGGAAGCACTGTGTCAATATTCACTCTGGGTGGTAATTATCAACTCATCCAATTAATATTAGTAAGCCGCCAATATCTTCTGTTTTTAATTTCACGTTACATATACTTTAAACCGTCAATATTTGTGATTGAAATCCAAGTGGATGTAAGTCATATATATACCCACGTTTTCACGAGATGCTGAATTGTTTTAGTTACGGACAGGGAGTACGAAAACATCGAGTTACAAAATGACTCCGCCAATATTTTAGAAACCATGCCCACATTTTAAAAATCACGCCCACTTTTGCAAATTGTACACCCAAATTGTAACTCGAAATGTACTCATTACAAAATGACTCGTCGTTTGATTTATTTTATTGTAATTTATTTTAACATTCCATCGTTCGTACATTTTCATATGGGTGATTTTGAATACAGTATTATTGTCCAGTATTTGCGTTCCATATTGATTGAAGACATAAGCGACGGAATTTGATTCACTGATACGGTCGCACGGGCGCATTGAATTATTGGTACGTACTGTTAATGACAGCGCGTGCGCATTTACGGTCATGGTTTCATTTTGTCAACACAATGCATCGAGCAGCAATTGTCCGCGTTGTCCCGTTTACCGTCAATTAAACATCCTGGTGGTTTCGTTATTTCAGCATACTTATGTGTGAAACAGGTTGACTCGCCTGGTAAACAATGAATGGCATTGTGCTCAAACAAATGTTACGGAATTTGTTTCCGGGTCAATAAATAGATTAGATAGCATAACAGCGTCTCATCCACAGAGACCCTATTACTGGTACATTTGAATTGAAAAACGTACGAATTTGAATCACAGGACCACCACCAGTAATCTGCAGATCAGCATCCTGGTGTAGGTCTTCATCTGTTCAACTTTGCCATGCGTCGGTCATATCTCACCACCAACAGCGGAAAGTAAACACATACTGGATCAACCGTGACTGCAACGGTCTGTAACGGTACACCCGGGACAGTCAGCATGATCGTTAAAAGCTTCCCCAGAAATAATAAACACTGTTTTATCACCAAATGTAAAACAATGATCGCTTGTCTTCAACCATAATTGAGGAAACTATTTTCTTTGTGATGCTGTATCTGTGGATTAATTGGAAATGTGTGGACCCGACGAAATAATAACATTCGCTATAAATTCCGATATATGAGCTCGTACAGGGCAGAGAGTGTAAGACAAATCAAGGAACATTTCAATCTGCAAAATTGACTTACAAATTAGTGTACTCAATGCGAATAACCTTGCCGAAATATTTATTTCAATGCAATAATTATTTGTTATATGACATAATTGTCCCACCACCCAGCTGTGATAACATTCATTTTCGCATCTTATCGGTGCGAAGCAGCATGTCATTCACTGCAAAGCGAAGAATCAGTGGGAAAAATAAGTTCGTTGTGCGTTCACTCCAGGCTCTATATATGACACAGAAGGTCGTCAACGAAGTATGCCAAGGTGGCACTTTTAGTTGTATCAGTCGTATAGTTCATGTAGCCCCTGTCGTTCAGTCTGCTGGTGGTAGGTAAACGACGCAACGGGTCAGATAATAAATCGTTGTCGTAAATGGTGACGACAATTTAGTGAACACAATTAGGGGCAGCACAACTATGCACATACGATCAGATAAAATCCCCCCTCAATATCGAATGGCCCACCCTTAATCTACTTTTTCAAGCGAAAATGCTGCTCTTCGTTTCTTTCAACATGTATTCATTATTTTATTGCAAAACTTATCCAATCTCTATCCCGTTACTCACAGAAAATTTCTGATCTGACACGACGCACGCACATGAGCGTTTTCGTTTTCCAGACCAGTTTAAGATTACGGGCATGCTAATATTATTCTTGATCCATAGTGCGGTATACGAATTTTGAATTTTCATTAACACCAGTTTGTATATTATTTACTTTGTAGATTATATTTTAAGCACTATTTACATTTTTTGTTCATAGCCTACAGTCGTGCCTACAGTCGTGTATACAGTCGTGCATACAGTCGTGTATACAGTCGTGTATACAGTCGTGCCTACAGTCGTGCCTACAGTCGTGCATACAGTCGTGCCTACAGTCGTGCATACAGTCGTGTATACAGTCGTGCATACAGTCGTGCCTACAGTCGTGCATACAGTCGTGCATACAGTCGTGTATACAGTCGTGCATACAGTCGTGCCTACAGTCGTGTATACAGTCGTGCATACAGTTGTTCAATTTCTGGTTATGTGTGCTGTTATGGGTTTGGTAATCATAACAAAAAATATACAGAGAATATTTTTACAAAAAGAATTCCATTGAAGGGAAAAGTGCTGGAAAAAATATTCCAGCAACATTATTCCTTAACTAAAACTCAAATGTGAGGAGAGAGGTTTTTAATGGTCAACTTCTTATTAGAGTAGACAAAACGGCAAAGAAAAATGGGAATTGTATGTTGACGATAAAACACTTAATAACATATTGCCAGTCTGTCTGAACATGCTGATGTTTTCTATGCACGTGTCTCTGATATATTCATTTATTAAACCTTGCTTTACCGTATACGATAGGATGCGACTTTATCTTCGTATTTATCAAGACCCGGCAATACTGTCAACACGAAATTATCTAATACCACAGGGGTAATGCGATACCGTTGCAATACAATTCGTGCCCTTATAGCCTCATTTGGGATTATTTGTATTCACGAACGACATACTTGAAATACTAGTTTCGACTTATTAATCAAGTCTCGTGTCCTCCGTGGGAATATGTCAATGAAGATATCAATATTTTATTGGAATATATGTGCAAAAGCAAGCAAAACTGATTATTAGGCGAAATACCTATCCACGGTTACTAAAAAAATCTTTTTTAGTAACCGTGACCTATCGGAGCAACTGACGTCGCCACTCTCTGTGCTTCAGAGAAAATGATGATGTCATCATTCTGCGTTATAGTGCAAATGATGTCGTCCTGCCCCTGTCTTTGTTACAATAAAAGAAAACCTTGAATATCATATAAGAAATGATATGTGCTCGTTCCACTACACCGGCCCAAATAACTATTTTTTTTTTGAGAGAGAGAGAGAGAGTTCTTTGAGCCAGCATGGATTTAACGTACAAATAACGATTGTGTGCTCCGATTTGCTGATAAAGAACAGAGATAATATATCACTTTCTTGAAAGTTAATAACTTAAAGGCGAAAGTTTATCCTACAATATTAACGGAATTCGTGTGCGTACTGGTAACTGTTCTTTTAATGGGTATCGCAACGTTCATAGCACAATCACTTGTACAATACCGAACGCACAGTGAATGTTAATGTGGTCCACCAGTAAGTGTAGACCGTTGTGCTATATTGTTATATCACAGTTAATCCCATCAAATTACACCCACTGTTAATTTGATTACGCCAGACCTCAAAACGAGCTGAGCCGGCACGTTGGAAAGTCGTCACGTCCGATAATCGGGAATCGCATCTGCGCATAACACTTTAAGCAGTTCAAGTTGTCAGTCAGATCAGTGGTTTTTTCACCGCACCACGCTGCTGAAATCCACTCGCGAATTCCGCGTGGTATTCACACTGCGTACGATAGAACTTTTAACGTTACGACCTCCGCCGCTTTGTGAGGTTATGACAACCTCGTCACGGACTCCATTAATACTAACACGTTTTTGTTGTAATCTAATTAACTTCAAGCCCGTGTTGAGAGAAAACTACGTTGTTATTTCACGTGGACCATTAGCTCCATGCGTGAACCTGTATTACTGCTATCAAAGGGCGGTAAACTGTGACCCAACTGATCTTCTGCTACATAATTTTAACGTAACCAAAGAATTGTTCTTACTGCAACTTTTTTTGTCGGTGTCTAGACCGAATAGTTAAAGCTACTTGATAATGTTGACTATAATTGTAACGCTTATGAATTCTCAGTCGACCGACACGTTGCAATTGTACAATTATTTAGTTTACGTGTCGTTTCCTTGCTATACGGCGGAAGTCAGCACTGTTTGTATCGGCTGTAGTGTCGGCTTTGACTTAGAGTAGCTACAATTGGGATGGTTTGTTTACGGGAGTAAATAAATGGAAATGGGAGTGTGTATTTTTTTCGGAATGATGGAATGTACCCAAGATCATCCCTAAGATACACCACCATTCTACAATCAAGTCTCCAAATCTATTAAAAGAGAGTTTTCCTGATTTAATCAAATAATCTCAATCCCAACTGAACACAGTCTATGCTTAACCCGTTAAACGTCGCAGTGATTTCCCGCCAAAATGTTGAGATAAAATTTTGCATTTCAAAATTTAATGTCTGTATTTGTTTGACGAAACTCTCGTATTGTTCATTTGACTATGTTTTTCATCACGTCTTTGCGCACATATTAGTTGAAACAAAATTATTTTGTGAATAATGACACAAGTTGTCGTTCTAGAGATTTATCGATTGTCCCTGTGTGCAATTTATAGCCGGTCAAATCAAAATCATGACAGCTGAACTTGACATACACACTTGAAATATTGCAATCGGTATGTATTATCACGACACGAAAGTGTCCGGTAGTTTATCGACTCCCTCTTACACGCCATGTTTGTAAATAATAGTGCTGTCAAGACTAAGGAACTTTAAGACCAGTGAGGTATCAGTACTGTTATTATAGATCAGATTATCATAGTATGTTCTTGTAGATAATTCCTAGACAAGAGACTGTCACCATCAGTGACCCGTTAATGGGTGAAGGCAAATGTTTACCAGGGAGGCGATAGTCAGGATCCGTTGACAATAAGCTTTGAAAATGTGACATTAACACGTATTGAATGCAGTGCAAAGTGCAAGCAAGTATGGGTGTATTCATACACATTGTTGGTATTATGGTGTTTGTAATAAAGAAAAAAAAACTGGGCTGACTTTTAAAATGCCAACTCGGCATAAACTTAATACTTTGACTTGCTCCCTGAAGCAACGGGATCAACTTGAATCGATGCGTATGAGTATGACAGGCAAATACAGTTATTTAATACAAGTGTAATAGAGATGTACTGTGGATTTATTTCATGAGATATGTACACTAGGTTGAAAGGTCAGCATGAATTTCTCCCACACACTGGTGTCTTATAAACATTGCATCTCGTCCTTGACATCGGGACGATATAAAGTGCTACACTTTTTATTAAATAGTGATATTTGACAAGCTGCGTGGTATATCTGTATTACGTAATGTAGGTGATTGGAGTATCCATACGCCAATATTAATGTCACACGTGTAAGTCTGCTTCATACATGCCAAAATCATAACACAGCATAAATTCAGTTTGAAACGCCAGAAGACTACGTAAGTCGAAGAAGGCAAAGACCAAATACAGTTCGTTTGCACTTACCAGTAGGAGGTATTTATATCCATCGTTGCGTAGCCAGTGCCGCCCGGATGTAACCATACCCTTCTTGAATGGCTCCCTGAAACGACGCAAAATACTAGAAGACTTGAGTTTATAAGTGGTTGTAAGAACAATGGTAATTTCTTTCGATTTGAGTGTCCGTTCATCACAGTTCGGTGGAGAATCTCCCACCTAGTCGTAAATGTTGTTGACTGTCTGATGAATTACACATGCCCAGGTCACACGGAGGACTCTTCCGAACAGAGGAAGCCCTGTACAATTTATAATTCATTGATACAGCACTTTATCACACGACGCTATTTCTTCCTGTCTGTTAACAAATCACCGTGTTATTTACTCGCCTTGATCACAGATAGTGACTCATGTTTTCACAGTCATTGGTTGTCTCAAGTCCTCTTGTTGTACAGTATACAGTAGTCCTGGGGTATACTGAAACCCAGCCAGACTTAAGCTGTTTTACTTACGCCGTGGAAGAGACTATTGTCTGTGTGTGTAGGGGTGGGCAGGGTATTTAAAGATGGTGACCGTTTCTAGAAGGCAGAGATGTTACTGCCATTCGTTGCTATGATTGGGTAATTTTGTGACGTAATACCTACGTGTATGTATTGAGACAATACATTTAGCAAATACGGTAATAGCAACTACGACTGCATATACATGACATTTTACAATAATTTTTGAACCCGTGTCATACCGTGAGTGCGGACCTGCACAGACTTCCCTGCATACAAC